GGCTTACAATAGGCTGGAGAACCTGGCTTTACCACACAGGAGCCTGTAACATTACATCTTTAAATTCTTCATCTTAATATTATGTTAAATATCACAGACTAAAATATTGCAATGAAAGATGTGATACCATAATACTTTGGGGCGATAATACACAAACTGCGAATTAGGTGAGCCGTGAGGGCGAGTACGGCACGAAACTAAGCCAAACGTATTATCTATACTATATTTTAAACTTGACGAAATCCCCCCGACAACGGGGATATAACACTGAAAATCGACCTAAAAATGACCCTCTGGTGTCACCAATTTCAGCTTGTAAAGGCAAATGGAGTTGAATTAACCTCGCCATTTTTAGCGGGGTTGTAAAAAAAGAATAGGAATAGGCTATATCATTCTTAGAATTTTGATTAAGGCTTTAGATTGTCTATAGTTAACGTCGGAAGCGAGGTAAAATAAACGTTAAAATAATGGTGTTATTTTAGCAAAGGTGAATGGTGTCGTTGCTTAAAAACATCAAGAGATTACACGTGCGCGAGCAAGAACAGTAAGAATAGTAAGAATAGCAAAGTGGTGTATATTAAAAAATAGTAAAAAGTAGGGAAGTACCACATCTTCAGTAATGTCCCCGGCGCCCGTAAAAAAAAACCCATGGGAAGGGTTTCCAAATCCACCCCTTTAGTGGCTTACAGCGAATTTAAACCCCTTTTTCGTCCCCGTTTTCAAAAACAATTTCCCGGGAGCGCTACCAAAACCTGGGGTTTTTTTCACTGGAGTTTTGTTTGGGGACCCCTTCCTTGTGGATCCCGTCGCCCCCATTTTGGAAGTAACATCAAAGAAAGGGTGGTGAATTTCTTCCCCTTAAAACTCTACACTTACACTCTACCCCTCTAAAAACCCCTGCCCTTTAGGGACCATTTAAAAAAGTTTCTCTTTTTGCCCCGATTGGGCTATTTTCCAAAAAAAAACCTCTAAATCGGGCCCCAAAACCCCCAACCCCCATTCCGTATAATAGCGGTAATTACCCCCTATACGGATATTACCCCTCTATTCGGATATTACCCCCTATAAACGGTTATTACCCCTTTAAAATAGCGGGATATTTAAAACCCCCAAAAGGGTATAAATTTCCCCTCAGATAGCGGAAAATTTTCCCCTCAAATAACGGGATAAAATTTCCCCTCATATAGCGGGATTTTACCTCTTTATTTTTTTTTGCGGTTTTTTTAAACCCTCTATAGGGGGGTATAATTTTCCCCTCAAATTTCGGGATTTACCCCATTTTAGCGGTATATTAAACCCCCCATAAAGCGGGATATTTTCCCCTCATAAAGCGGTATATTCCCCCCATTTAACGGTATATTTTTCCCCTCATTTTTCCGGGATAAAACCCCCCCCCTATAGCGGTATATTTTCCCCTCAAAAAGCGGGATATTTCCCCCCAAATAGCGGTTAAAATTTCCCCTATATAAAGGTATAATTTCCCCTAAAATGCGGTTTATTAAAACCCCCCATATAGCGGGAAAAATTTCCCTCATTTAAAAGGGAAAATTTCCCCTCATATAAACCCGGATTTTACCCCTCAAATTAAAAAGTATATTACCCCTCTAAAACGGTATAAAAAAACCCCCCATTTTAAAGGTATATTTCCCTTTATTAAAAACGGAAAATTTTCCCCCCAAAAGTTACTTTGGGCCGCCACTTCATTCTGATTTTAGCCAGACCTCAGCAGGTTGGGTTTTTCTCCACTTTGTTTCTTTTTTTCCCCCTTCCCCCCGCTTTCCCGCCTTCTCCTTTCTTCCCCCCCCTTTCAGTCTTTTTTCAGGGATTTAGCCTCATCAGTTTTATATTTTAGAGCCACTTGCTCCTACGAAAAAACCCTACCTTACCCGGCTACGCATTTGGGCCCCCAAAAGGCCCTTTTAAAATTTTTCCCTTTTTTAAATTTCCCTTTCTGTGCATTTCAAATTTTTTGGGCCCCCAAACGACTAGCGCGGGTTGGGGTTCCCGGGGGCCTTTCCCCCCCAATTTTTCCCCAAAACACCTCGGGGACACTTGTTCGTCCCCAAAAACCTAGGGGGTAGACCTTTGGGCAGTCATCACCCTGTTATGGTTTTTGGGACAGTTGACATGAAAACTTTTTCTTTTTCAGTCATATCATGTCACCCCAACACAAAAATTTTTTAACTTCGTTTGTACCTCACATGAATTTATCGACAGTTAATCTCTTTCAAATACACATTCTTAAAATTTGTCACACCTAACCCCATTTTTTAATTGACAAATACATTTTGAGAATCAATTTTTTTTTTCGAATGGGAAATTTTACCAATTATAACCGAGTGTGTGTGTTTTTAGCATTTTTACAACATTTCGGGAATGTTTTAAAATTTAAAAAAAATGTTCTAAAAAAATGTTCTATAACGGTATTTACCCCTTATTAAAACCCGGGGGTATTACCCCCCAAATAGCGGTTTAACATACCTTCATTTTTAGCGGGAAAAATTACCCTCATATTGCGGAAATTACCCCTCATATTAAAGGTTTTATTACCCCCTTTATATAACGGTATAATTCCCCCCCCCAAAATTTTCGGTAAATTACCCCCCAAAAGCGGGTTTTTAACCCCCAAAATAACCGGGATATTTTCCCCTCATATAAAAGGTATATTACCCCCCAAATTTTAAAGGTATAACCCCTCAAAAGTGGTAAAATTTTTCCCCCCCCAAAAAAGCGGGATATTTCCCCCATTAAAAAACGGTTTTTTAAACCCCTTCCTAAAAACGGTAAAAATTTCCCCCTTTTAGTGGGATAAATTTCCCCTCAAATAGCGGATATTACCCCTCATAAAAGCGGATATTTTCCCCCCCAAAAAGCGGAATTTTCCCCCCATATAACGGTATTTTACCCCCCCATATAACGTATATTAAACCCCCCAAAATTAAAAGTATATTACCCGTCATAAAAAAGGGGTTTTTTTTCCCCCCCAAAATAACGGGATATTACCCGTAAAAAAACGGTATATTTCCCCTCATATAAAGGTAATTACCCCCATTTAGCGGATAAACCCCATATAACGGGTTTATTACCCCCCTATAGTTGTATTTTTTACCCCTCCAAAAGCGGTATTTACCCCCCATATAACGGGATATTTTCCCCCATTTTTAAATGTATTTACCCCTTAAAATTACAGTGTTTACCCCTCTAAAACGGTATATTACCCCTCATATAACCCTTAAAAATTTCCCCCCAAAAATTTAAAGGTTTATTACCCTTTATTTTAAAAAGGAATATTTCCCCTGTATACCCCTCGTATATTACCCTCATATAACGGTATATTTTCCCCCCAATAAAAGGTTAATACCCCTCATATAACGGTATATTACCCCTCATATAACGGTATAATACCCCCATTTTAAAAAGGTATTTACCCCTAAAAAAGCGGTATAATACCCCTCATATAACGGTATAATACCCCTCATATAACGGTATATTTCCCCCCATAAAAAAGGGATAAAACCCCCAAATAAAGGTATAATACCCCCCCATATAAGGGGTAATTTTCCCCTCAATTTGCGGTTTTTAAAATACCCTCAAATAGCGGGAAATTTCCCCTCATATACGGAAAATACCCCTATAAACGGGTATATTACCCCCCATTTTAGCGGGATATTACCCCCCCCAATACGGAAAATTTTCCCCCAAAAACGGTATTTTCCCGCATATAACGGTATTTTTTACCCCTCAATAACGGGATAAAACCCTCAAATAGCGGTTTTTTCCCCTCATATTCGGTATATTCCCCTCAATAACGGTTTTATTTCCCTCCCTAAAAACGGGATAATTTCCCCTCTTATAGCGGTATATTTTCCCCCCCCTATACGGTATATTTTCCCCCCAAATAGCGGGATAAATTTCCCCTAAATAACGGTATAAAAACCCCTATTTTAACGGTTTTATTAACCCCACTTAGCGGTACATTACCCCTCATATAGCGGTAAAAATTTTCCCCTTTATTTTACGGGATATTAACCCCCGTATACCCCCGTATAATTTCCCCAATAAAAGGTATAATTCCCATCTTGTCGGGGCAGCTGTAAAATTTTAAAAATACCTGTTTTCCAAATTTAAAAGGCAATTTATATCGGAAAAAAGAAAAAAGGGGAAAAAAAATAAACCCGTAGCACAAAATTTTTTTTTGGGGCTGGCATCCCCCCAAAAAGGTTTTCAAAAGAACCTGTTTCCGGGGTTTTCTGCCCCCCGCTATAAAAGGGTCGTCGCAGTTTCAACACGAACCCCATTCGTTCACAGTTCATGCACAATTCCCCCAAGGCTGGGGGGTTTTCTATTCTAGTTTCACAGTCCTCTCTATCCCTCCCCCCTATCCGGTCCAGGCCACAAATTTGGACCTAAAATGTAATTCGAAAACCGGTTTTAGGGGCTATTTCATTTAAACGGGGTTTCCCCTCCCCTGTGCACAGACGCCACGTTTCTTTTCCCCCCCCCCCACCCCCTGTTTGTTCAAAAACGTGTTTTCAACCAAAGGGCACGTGATCAATTTTAAAAATTTATTAAAACTTTTAAAATTTTACAATTTATTTAGTATTGGGGATGAAGATAAGAGCTTGTTTTACCAGTTTGGCAGGAAATCTTTACTTTCCCTCTCTAGGGTTTATCAACCTTTCAAGTTTGGAAACAACCCTTTCCCCATTCAGGGACCCCAGGGCCCGTGACCCCTTTTCTCGGGGCAGGAACCAGGGTCACACGATCCCCACTCGTCCCACTCTACAGAATCTGAGGAGACTTTGCTAAACAAGACGAAGTTACAGAATCTGAGGAGACTTTGCTAAACAAGACGAAGTTAGCTCAATTATGCAAACTAGCAGGAACCCGTCTAACAATGCGAATAAGTTATGTAAATCTCAACAAGCTAGCTTAAGATAGCTATACTCAAAGCTCTATAATACTGTAAGCTATGCTGCATTAGTAACTAACAGCAAGGTACATCCTCATCCTCAGAAGCGCAGCCGTTCTCACAGTTCCTCCACCTTAACTGTCTGCAGTCCTCCCCACACTGATCCACATACTCCCACGGACTGCACTTGCAATCTGAAGAGATTATATAAGGTAGCTAGTATCGAGTAGAGTATTCTAGGTGCAGTTAAGGTTGCAATCTGAAGACATTAAATAAGGTAGCTAGTATCGAGTAGAGTATTCTAGGTGCAGTTAAGGTTGCAATCTGAGGAGATTATTATATAAGGTAGCTAGTATCGAGTAGAGTATTCTAGGTGCAGTTAAGGTTGCAATCTGAGGAGATTATTATATAAGGTAGCTAGTATCGAGTAGAGTATTCTAGGTGCAGTTAAGGTTGCAATCTGAGGAGATTATTATATAAGGTAGCTAGTATCGAGTAGAGGATTCTAGGTGCAGTTAAGATTGCAATCTGAGGAGATTATATAAGGTAGCTAGTATCGAGTAGAGGATTCTAGGTGCAGTTAAGGTTGCAATCTGAGGAGATAATATAAGGTGGAGTATTCTAGGTGCAGTTTAGATTGCAATCTGAGGAGATAATATAAGGTAGAGTATTGAGTATTCTAGGTGCAGTTAAGGTTGCAATCTGAGGAGATAATATAAGGTGGAGTATTCTAGGTGCAGTTTAGATTGCAATCTGAGGAGATAATATAAGGTAGAGTATTGAGTATTCTAGGTGCAGTTAAGGTTGCAATCTGAGGAGATAATATAAGGTGGAGTATTCTAGGTGCAGTTTAGATTGCAATCTGAGGAGATAATATAAGGTAGAGTATTGAGTATTCTAGGTGCAGTTAAGGTTGCAATCTGAGGAGATAATATAAGGTAGAGTATTCTAGGTGCAGTTAAGGTTGCAATCTGAAGAGATAATATAAGGTAGAGTATTCTAGGTGCAGTTAAGGTTGCAACCTGAGGAGATAATATAAGGTAGAGTATTCTAGGTGCAGTTAAGATTGCAATCTGAAGACATTAAATAAGGTAGCTAGTATCGAGTAGAGTATTCTAGGTGCAGTTAAGGTTGCAATCTGAGGAGATTATTATATAAGGTAGCTAGTATCGAGTAGAGGATTCTAGGTGCAGTTAAGATTGCAATCTGAGGAGATTATTATATAAGGTAGCTAGTATCGAGTAGAGGATTCTAGGTGCAGTTAAGATTGCAATCTGACGACATAAATAAGGTAGCTAGTATCGAGTAGAAGTAATCTAGTGCAGTTAAGATTGCAATCTGAGGAGATAAAAAGGTAGAGGATGAGTAGTATTCTAGGTGCAGTTAAGGTTGCAATCTGAGGAGATAATATAAGGTGGAGTATTCTAGGTGCAGGTTTAGATTGCAATCTGTGAGATAAAATAAGGTAGAGTATTGAGTAATCTAGGTGCAGTTTAAGGTTGCACTCTGAAGGAGATAATATAAGGTGTATGAGTAGAGTATCTAGGTGCAGAAATTTAATGGTCTGCATTTCGGGTGTAATTTGAAATGAATGCTGTGGTTTGAGTATTCTAGGTGTCATTAGTTGAATTTTTTAGATATCTTTAATAAGGTATGGTATTTAGGTTATGTTAATGTTGCACATCAAAGAAACAAAATATGAATTAAAGGGGGTTCTAGTGCATGGGGTTGAATGGGGTTTTGGGGGAGGGGGGGTGGGGGGTTCGGGGGTTTGAGGGGGGGGGGGTTTTCTGGGGGGAAAAAAGGTTTGCTTGGGGTTTTTAAAAAGGTGAAAAGGGGGGGGGGAGGGTTGGGGAAAAAAGGTGTGCGGGGGACGGTCTTTTAATTAAAAAAATTTATATAATTTTTTTTTAAATTTATTTTTTTTTTTTAAAATTTTTTTTTTTTTTTTTTTTTCTTTTTTTTGCTTTTTTTTTTTTTTTTTTTTTTTTTATTTTTTTTAATCTAAATAAAATAAAAAAAAATTTTAAAAATTTTTTTTTTAAAAAATTAAATAATAATTTTAAAATTTTATTTTTTAATTGAATTTAAAAAAATTAATTTTTTACATTAATTCAAAAAAAAAATAAATTAATAAAAAAAAAAAATTTTTATTTGAAAAAAAAAAAAATTTCCTTTTCCCTTTTTAGGGAAAAAATTTTTAAAAAAAAAAAAAGGGGAAAAAAAAAAAAAAAAAAAAAAAAAAAAAAATTTTAAAAAAAAAAAATTTAAAAAAAAAACCCTTTTTTTTTGAAATTAAAAAAAAGATAAAAATTATGGAAATTAAAGCGGGCTTCACCCTGAATAACATATATGAGAACATAATAAAAGTTAAAGAATTACAAATTTCTTACTCGGATCTGGAGCAACTCCTCTTTTTTCAATGGGTATTCGAGAATTATATTTCAAACCCTGAAAATATTGACTCAATCTAGGACAGCTATCTAGAATAAAGCACATCGCCAGGTTTATCAAATTTAGAGGAAGGACTAAATTGGTTAATTATATAATTATAGAAATAAGATATTGTCAATGAATTTTAGCGGAGACTGAAGTTATCAGTATTAGCCGGTAGATCGCTCTATTACCTTCACTGAAGTAAGAATATGGAAAAATACCGCAACCGCTAGTAAAAATAAAATACTGTAATCGGACATCCTTGGTCACTTGAAAAAGATGCGTTGCAAAAGAGAAGGATTAGAAAATGAAATGTTAGGGGGTTTTAGGCGATTTGTTGTGACTATCTGGATCAATATTGTTGAATTTACAGTCCTTGTTAAAACGCAGTCAAGGGTCGTCTTACAATACAGGCACTACCGTCCTGTTCTCGTTCAAACAATCCCAACATGATGCCATATTATAAAGGGCAACAAAGCCACAATAGAATATTTTAAGTCAAGGTGATTAAATATTAATTAATACTAATGCTGACAATTTACTGTGTTGATACTTAGACATTATTTTTAAAGAAGATAATAAGGACATTTACCGATAGTCGAAATTCGACATCTAGCGCTAGATGACGCTAGATGACGCTAGATGACGCTAGATGACGCTAGATGACGCTAGATGACGCTAGATGACGCTAGATGACGCTTGATGACGCTATCTAGCGCTAGAGATACCGTCAGTTAGCGACAGTTTAATTTTAAGCACACTTGGACATTTAGACCCTAGCATTTTGTTATTATTATCTTGAGGCACGGTTATTGATTAGTCACATGTTTATAATTCTTAGCTTTGTATTGTTCTCATTGTTTTATATCTGCTATTGGAACCCTGGATTAAGATCTGGTTAGTAGGATTGGCAAGGCATCCTGACACCAGACACAGACAAGGATCAGAATATACAGAGAATATGTACTAACAGTATTGCCGTACGGAAGCGAGACTTGGCCAAACATCAAAAGCCATGTGCACCGAGTGGAGGTGTTACATCAGAGATGTCTGAGGAGGATTCTAAGGATTAAGTGGTTCATGAAGACAAGCAAGGAAACAGTTCTACAGCGGACTCTTAGACTACCTAGTTGAGTGTGTTCCACAACCTAGCACCCTGCCTAAACGTTCGGAACTCCCGGACCTATGTGGCAAGCCTGCTCCCTGAACAAAACAAAAAAAGAAGAAAAAAAGAAGAAGACATGGCAAAAATTTGTGATTTGCAGGAGAATTTAGCTTTGAACTTGAAGAATGGTGATGAGATTGGAACTGTGAAAAGTGCAGCTCAGAAAGAGATCAAAACCTTTTCGTCTCTTTTGAAAAACACGTGCAAAAAGAAGAAAAGATTAAGAAAATCCAAGCTGCGGTGAAAAGGGTTGCCCTCGAAGAAGATCGAAGTAAAAGTCTGATAATCTTTGGGCTTCCGGCGACTGAGGAGAACTTGCATGCTAAGGTATCGGGTATTCTGTTGGACCATCTCAATGAAAAACCGAAAATCTTGAACTGTAAACGAGTTGGAAAGGACACAAGTACAAGTGAGCGAGTCAAGCCAGTGAAATTCACTTTGTATAGTTCAGATCAAGCTCGTACCATCTTGAGCAAGACTAAACTATTAAGACATGTTGAGGGGTTTAGCTCAGTTTATATCACTCCTGATAGATCAGCTGCATACAGGATGGCCTACAAGAAAGTTGTCGACAAGCTACTCAATAAAAGGACAGCAGAGCCGGACAAAGTTCACGTAATCAGGAACTCTAGAGTCGTAATTAGCTCAGAGAAGGAACCTTGAGAGTTATAATATATATTTTCTATAAATAAAATATTATATGTTTTGATTCATTGATTAATTTGTTTTTTTGCTAGGGCCCAATGTTATTGCGGGTGTGGTATTTCTTACTGCACACTACCGTGTTTTGGTTACCCCTCTTTCAAATTCAATACATAGTTTGGGTTTCGATATACTGGGATACTATTACCTGAAACTGTGAAAGTAATAGGCCAACTAAAAATTTGCACGAAAAAAGCACGCGCGGCGAACAAGCGCCGTGCAGCATTTTTAGCGAAAATTGCTACACGGTAGAATTATTTTATTCACATTTTTAGACAACTTCTGGTACCAAATTTATCGAAATCGGAAGAAAACAAGAATTTCGCCGTGGTTAAACCACGCACGATCAATTTTCCCTACGACGCGATGTACTTGTATTTTGTACCATTAATTCTTTCGAGTGCAGAGTAAAAAGTGTCACTGGAAAAAATAATAAATGAGTGGGATTCGCGCATGGTAAAAATTGACGATTTATTTGACCAATGTAGCGCCGCGCGCATCAACAATAAATGAATCCAGAAAATTGCGGAAAATAACTTTGCGAAGGAGGAACTTCACTGTAATTAATTAACACATGGCTAGCGTCGCGCGCAGCATAACAGACGCTTCCAATACACATAATTATAGGAGAGTGGTCTATATTGCAAAGGAGCAGACTTTTGTCGACACCGTAGGACCGTCGGGCCACCTCATATATCCAAACCCGATTACTTATTCCCTACGATCTTTTTGCCTTCGGCAAGAGTAGGGAAAAAAATTCCGTGTCAACTCATCGCGCTTATATTTACATTTTCAATTCCGCGAATATCGCGAACCAAGATATGGGCAATTTTGTTCAATTTTTTAGTCATGAAGAGGAGTTAACTAGGATTAGAGGGTGAAGTGTACTATCACAAGAGTTACCGTGGTAACAGTTACCATGGCTGCCGTGGTAACAGTTACCATGGCTGCCGTGGTAACAGTTACCATGGATGCCGTGGTAACAGTTGCCATGGCTGCCGTGGTAACAGTTACCATGGCTGCCGTGGTAACAGTTGCTGCTGCTGCTAAGAGAGCAGTAGCAACAGCTAACAAAATTTTAAAATAATACTGAAATAAATTTCTGGAAGTTGTAGTTACTTTTCACATACTGATTATTATAATTAGAATATTCTTATATACTATTAGATAAAGTCCTACCTGCCTAAATAAAGTAAACAAAATAAAAAGCTTGTATTACATCTGGTATCTCTAATGAATAAAAACTTTGGCACAACATAATCATCATCACAGTACATAATAACAAATGGAGGTACTAAATACGCATCAGGGAGATTAAGCAACTAGAACTATATGACGTGTCGTAGTGCATATTATTTTGAATACCCTTTAATAAGAAATGTCACTGGTAATAAATGTAAACTGAATGAGGGGTACTATCTGCCCCACCAAATTGAAAGTACACGTTACGAATAGCAATACGCAAAGTTGCGCCTAATGCAGCATTATGACGTCACACCACGTGTCATGACGTCACTTCCTGCTTGGGCTGCTTCCAGTGACAATGAAACAAACCATCCTTTAATTATTACCGCAACGACCAACAATTTGAGAAAAGATCTGCAATATTTGGGCCGATAAAGTAAACATAAAGAACATTTCCATTATAACCATGCGACTAAGTACTCAAGAAAAATTAGAAAAGTTTGGTAACCACGGTAACCACTTCAGTAAACTAGTGGTACTAGTGTAAACTAGTGGTAACTACTACAGTAAACCAGTGGTAACGACTAATATACAGTAAATAGGTAAATGTACATCAGGAAGACTAAAACGAAACTCATTTCATTATTGTAAAATATTTTCAGTTCCGGTCACGCAATATTCCCTGGTTTTCATTTCGACACGTTTCTGAAGAGGGTTTGTGTAGTAGGGTCAACACAGCATATCCAATATAACCCCTCACTTCAAATAGTGTGGTGTATTGGTGTAGTGGTGTAGTGGTGTAGTCGTACTAATATTATACTACGTAATACTGTGATCCCTGCAAACACCCTGAATGTTCTGTGTTGCAAACACAATGTAGTGTGGTGTAGTAATCACACTGATGATTGCAGTCCAGTAAGACACTAAAGTAGTAAGCCACTAAAGTAGTAAGACAATAAGAACTGAGATGAAATAGACAAAATCCAATTCTGCATTATTCAAAATGTTATATGTTACATACACTACTTGTACTTCATTGTAACTAGTAGTGACTTGAGTTTAAGCTCTGAAGTAATATTTGAGCCGACCTATCCTCACAGATATTGCCGCTAGAGACACTGACAAGTGGAGGAAATATTCACCTCATGTATACCTCTTTTAAGGATAGGTTATATTATAGTTATAGTAGTAGTAACTCATGTATAGTGGTGTACTGAAGCTACAATGTCATGTGATGTCCACATGTGGTATGATACTGAAGTCATTTGTTGAGATGAAGCAGGTGTCATAGTAACCGGGAGGTGAAGCAGGTGTCATAGTAACCGGGAGGTGAAGCAGGTGTCATAGTAACCGGGAGGTGAAGCAGGTGTCATAGTAACCGGGAGGTGAAGCAGGTGTCATACTAACCGGGAGGTGAAGCAGGTGTCATAGTAACCGGGAGGTGAAGCAGGTGTCATAGTAACCGGGAGGTGAAGCAGGTGTCATAGTAACCGGGAGGTGAAGCAGGTGTCATAGTAACCGGGAGGTGAAGCAGGTGTCATAGTAACCGGGAGGTGAAGCAGGTGTCATAGTAACCGGGAGGTGAAGCAGGTGTCATACTAACCGGGAGGTGAAGCAGGTGTCATAGTAACCGGGAGGTGAAGCAGGTGTCATAGTAACCGGGAGGTGAAGCAGGTGTCATACTAACCGGGAGGTGAAGCAGGTGTCATAGTAACCGGGATGTGAAGCAGGTGTCATAGTAACCGGGAGGTGAAGCAGGTGTCATAGTAACCGGGAGGTGAAGCAGGTGTCATAGTAACTGGGAGGTGAAGCAGGTGTCATAGTAACCAGGAGGTGAAGCAGGTGTCATAGTAACCGGGAGGTGAAGCAGGTGTCATAGTAACCGGGAGGTGAAGCAGGTGTCATAGTAACCGGGAGGTGAAGCATGTGTCATAGTAACCGGGAGGTGAAGCGGGTGTCATAGTAACCGGGAGGTGAAGCAGGTGTCATAGTAACCGGGAGGTGAAGCAGGTGTCATAGTAACCGGGAGGTGAAGCAGGTGTCATAGTAACCGGGAGGTGAAGCAGGTGTCATAGTAACCGGGAGGTGAAGCAGGTGTCAAAGTAACCGGGAGGTGAAGCAGGTGTCATAGTAACCGGGAGGTGAAGCAGGTGTCAAAGTAATAAAGGAACAAACTGCGCAGTATGACCTAGAACACGTCACAGACATCAGTAGAGTGGGATCGCACGCTGGAATAATCCTGTAACCATAGTTACCGGCGCCTCATCCTTCTACCCCTGATTCTTCTTCTGGCTGATTTGAGAGAGTACCAACCTGAGGTAAGAATGTTAGTATTGGAAGTGATGTGGCTCCCTCGTTTAAACAGTTATGTAACCGCTACTGTTAATCTCCAAGGAGATAATATGCTAAACAATGACACGGTACACTTGGCAATATAATGAGGAAAAGTGCTTGACATTTATAATTAACTTATCCTGTGACGACGGTATAGTGTAGTGTAGTGTAGTGTAGTGTAGTGTAGTGTAGTGTAGTGTAGTGTAGTGTAGTGTAGTGTTGTGTAGTGTAGTGTAGTGTAGTGTAGTGTAGTGGAGTGGAGTGTAGTGTAGTGTAGTTTAGTGTAGTGTAGTGTAGTGTAGTGTAGTGCAGTGCAGTGCAGTGCAGTGTAGTGTCGTTTAGTGTAGTGTAGTGTAGTTTAGTGTAGTGTTGTGTAGTGTAGTGTAGTGTAGTGTAGTGTAGTGTAGTGTAGTGTAGTGTAGTGCAGTGCAGTGGAGTGTAGTGTAGTGCAGTGCAGTGCAGTGCAGTGCAGTGTAGTTTAGTGTAGTGTAGTGTAGTTTAGTGTAGTGTAGTGTAGTGTAGTGTAGTGTAGTGTAGTGTAGTGTAGTGTAGTGTAGTGTAGTGTAGTGTAGTGTAGTGTAGTGTAGTGTAGTGTAGTGTAGTGTAGTGTAGTGTAGTGTAGTGTAGTGTAGTGTAGTGTAGTGTAGTGTAGTGTAGTGTAGTTTAGTGTAGTGTAGTGTAGTTTAGTGTAGTGTAGTGTAGTGTAGTGTAGTGTAGTGTAGTGTAGTGTAGTGTAGTGTAGTGTAGTGTAGTGTAGTGTAGTGTAGTGTAGTGTAGTGTAGTGTAGTGTAGTGTAGTGTAGTGTAGTGTAGTGTAGTGTAGTGTAGTGTAGTGTAGTGTAGTGTAGTGTAGTGTAGTGTAGTGTAGTGTAGTGTAGTGTAGTGTAGTGTAGTGTAGTGTAGTGTAGTGTAGTGTAGTGTAGTGTAGTGTAGTGTAGTGTAGTGTAGTGTAGTGTAGTGTAGTGTAGTGTAGTGTAGTGTAGTGTAGTGTAGTGTAGTGTAGTGTAGTGTAGTGTAGTGTAGTGTAGTGTAGTGTAGTGTAGTGTAGTGTAGTGTAGTGTAGTGTAGTGTAGTGTAGTGTAGTGTAGTGTAGTGTAGTGTAGTGTAGTGTAGTGTAGTGTAGTGTAGTGTAGTGTAGTGTAGTGTAGTGTAGTGTAGTGTAGTGTAGTGTAGTGTAGTGACGATTGGGAGAAGTTCAAAGTTAACTAGGTAGATTGGGTTTATAATGATTTTCCTAAGTCTAGGAAAAGTTTGGTGAAGTTGTCCAGTAGCACCCTCACGTGATGCCTGTATATGGGGTGCAGTGACACGTGATGCCCATATATGGGGTGCAGTGACACGTGATGCCCATATATGGGGTGAAGTGACAAATTCGTCGTGCAATGCTAGTTGTCAACTTAGTAAAGGAGATAAATAGAAACAATAGAGTATACAACAGCATACTCAGCTACACTTGGCTTCTAGAGTGAGCATTATAAGCTATGAAGCTACGGTGTAAGGCTATTAAGAGTGCTGTAAAGAACATCATGAGTGATTTAATGATTCCACCACCACTACACCACTACACCACACTACTACACTACACCACTACACCACTACACCACTACACCACTTCACCACACTACACCACTACACCACTTCACCACACTACACCACTACACCACTTCACCACTACACTACACTACACTACACCAAAACACTACACTACACTACACTACACTTCACTACACTACACCACTACACCACTTCACCACTACACTACACTACACTACACCAAAACACTACACTACACTACACTACACTTCACTACACTACACTACACTACACTACACCACAACATTACACTATACCACCACTAAACCGGGAGGGGGGGGGGGGGGGGGGGGGGGGGGATCAGGTACTAAGTTCTGTACGTGACGTCGACTTAGTGTAATTTTGGAATTTTGTCAAAAGACCCACCCACCCCCTTTGCGGTACTAACTGTTTTTTTGGATAATAATTAAGACACCCACCCCCTTTTGCCGGCTTTTGTGGTTGAGAAAAAAATTGCTTTAAACAGCTCATTAAACATTGGGAAATGGGCAAATTATACCCACTATTAGTAGGGGTTTTGTTTTCAATGTAGTCGAATAAGATAAAAAGTTACAAAAACAGGAAAAAATTCAAAAAAACCCAAAAAAACCTCTAAAGTCTAAACCCATTCCAACAAGAATTTCGCCGCGGTTAAACCACGCACGATCAATTTTCCCTACGATGTCCTTGTTTCATTAATTCTTTTGAGTGAAAAGTGTGACTGGAAAAAAGTGCAACATATTTACATACTATTAGTGCTTTTCATTCAAACAAGTAAAAACAAATCTTTTATGTCATGTTTCCAGGGTTTGGACTGGAATTGCCCGCTTAAAGAACTTCCATCGCGTTACATTACATAATTTTCTCAATAAATGTAATAGATTTGTAGTGTTGTAATTAGTTTAATTTGTGCATGGTAAAAATTTACGATTTATTTGACCAATGTACAATGTAGCGCCGCGTACCAACGACAACAATAAATGAATCCAGAAAATTGCGGAAAATAACTTTGCGAAGGAGGAATTTCACTGTAATTAATTAACACATGGCTAGCGTCGCGCGCAGCATAACAGACGCTTCCTACACACTTAATCATAGGGGAGTGGTCTATATTGCGAAGGAGCAGACTTTTGTCATCAACGCAGGTCCGTCGGGCCACCTCATATCTCCCAACCTGATTACTTACAACGATCTTTATGCCTTCGGCAACAGTAGGGGAAAAATTGAAATTTGAGGTAAAATGGGTCTTTTTGGGGTTGGACACCCCCCTAAGTACCATGTACTAACTGTTTTTCTGGGAAATGTACCATGCACTAACTGTGTTTTGGAAGAAAATAATGACCCCCCCCCCCCCCCGACTACACGTACGGTACTGACTGTATGATCCCCCCCCCCAACGTCACGTACGGTACTGACTGTATGATCCCCCGACTACACACCGATAATGAAGATATATATCGTTCTTTTTCTTCTTATCGCGTGCTCTTACATTTAAGAAATCAGAAAGAAAGTGAGGTGGTTGGAGGTGCTTCAAGAGCTGCCGATAGGCTGCAGGTAGAATGATAGGCTGCAGGTAGAATGACAGCAGGTAGGGGCAGTTATTAATTAACAATTGGTGCTCATTGTATTAACTACACCACTACTGTAATTGTATTAATTCACACTCGCCAGCGCACTGTCACGTGACACGTTAGCGCGCTCATATACCTTAAAATGTTTATTTTCGGAAAAATGGCTGAAAAACAGATTTTTGCCGAGCGAGCAATGAAAATACTCACAAATGGGCTATTGGCAGTGGCGTAACGAAAGGCCCTGCTGACCCCGCTGTGCAGGGGGGCGCCAAATCGTCGTTTGAATGTGGGACAATTTCGAAAACTTAACTAAAGTACTAGCAAAACTGCGCGTTTTGCTCTAGATACACACTTTTTTAGAGATTTTACCGGCGTATTCTTTAAAATCACCTAATTTGTTCAATTTTAGGGAGGGGCACCAAAAGGGGAGGGGGCGCCAACAGGGGGGCGCTTTTTTCGTCAGGGGCGCCAACAGGCAACGTTACGCCACTGGCTATTGGACTCAGGACTGGTAACTAGAAAGGTCCTAAAGACTCGTGAGCAACATAAAATTTGTCCCAAGATGCAAGATAATTTACTTGGTGTTCAGAAACATCTAAAAAGTTGGAGAATGATCTACTTAATTGGGCATTTCTCTTAATAAGCCAGGTATATTTGTGTCTTACAAAACGGCAAGATTTCAAAAATTCGGTTTAGGCCAAAAGGTCTTCTGCTGTTTGCTAACACCAAATAGTTCGCAATTGCCGACTCATGCACATTATATAATATTCAAAAACGTTCAGTTTAAGGTAATTAGTAAATAACTACTGCATGATCTGTGAAAACATTTCATGCCAATTGCCAACAAAGAACCGAACCAAATTGTTGGGCAAGGATCTTGATCGATCTTGATCGATCAAAGTTTTCCTTGGCATCAATTTAACCAAAATGTGATGACCAAAATTCAACTTCAAACTTTTAATTCATTCATACGATGAAACCACGGTAACCACGGTAACCACGGTAACCATGTTACCAAGAATACCTGACCTACAATAATTCGGCACATTGCAGATTTTCCCATCGTATGATAATATGTGTCATCCCCTCATTGTAATCAAGTGGTTACTGGCTAGCATTTTAACGGTTTAACCTTGATTGACCATGACTGTGGCACAATACTGGAGTATTCAAGATGGAGGTCTTCTATATGATTAATTACGATATCAACCAAATTTAGGGTGGGTTTTGCCATAGTTTGAATTCAGTCACTTGTCCATTATCGAATCAGCCTTTGAGAGATAGTCAACATCATCCATACCTAATATAAAAAACATACCTAATATAAAAACTACTCTATAAAAAACTAATAACTGCCCCGTATAATATGTATTAAATAATAATTTGACAGTGCTCGCTAATTTCACAGTGCTCGCTAATTTCACAGTGCTCGCTAATTTGACAGTGCTCGCTAATTTCACAGTGCTCGCTAATTTCACAGTGCTCGCTAGTTTCACAGTGCTCGCTAATTTCACAGTGCTCGCTAATTTCACAGTGCTCGCTAATTTCACAGTGCTCGCTAATTTCACAGTGCTCGCTAATTTCACAGTGCTCGCTAATTTCACAGTGCTCGCTAGTTTCACAGTGCTCGCTAGTTTGACAGTGCTCGCTAATTTCACAGTGCTCGCTAATTTCACAGTGCTCGCTAATTTCACAGTGCTCGCTAATTTCACAGTGCTCGCTAGTTTCACAGTGCTCGCTAGTTTCACAGTGCTCGCTAGTTTCACAGTGCTCGCTAATTTCACAGTGCTCGCTAGTTTCACAGTGCTCGCTAATTTCACAGTGCTCGCTAATTTCACAGTGCTCGCTAGTTTCACAGTGCTCGCTAATTTCACAGTGCTCGCTAATTTCACAGTGCTCGCTAGTTTCACAGTGCTCGCTAATTTGACAGTGCTCGCTAATTTCACAGTGCTCGCTAATTTCACAGTGCTCGCTAGTTTCACAGTGCTCGCTAGTTTCACAGTGCTCGCTAATTTCACAGTGCTCGCTAATTTCACAGTGCTCGCTAATTTCACAGTGCTCGCTAGTTTCACAGTGCTTGCTAGTTTCACAGTGCTCGCTAATTTGACAGTGCTCGCTAATTTCACAGTGCTCGCTAATTTCACAGTGCTCGCTAATTTCACAGTGCTCGCTAGTTTCACAGTGCTCGCTAGTTTCACAGTGCTCGCTAGTTTCACAGTGCTCGCTAGTTTCACAGTGCTCGCTAGTTTCACAGTGCTCGCTAATTTCACAGTGCTCGCTAATTTCACAGTGCTCGCTAGTTTCACAGTGCTCGCTAGTTTCACAGTGCTCGCTAGTTTCACAGTGCTCGCTAGTTTCACAGTGCTCGCTAGTTTCACAGTGCTCGCTAGTTTCACAGTGCTCGCTAATTTCACAGTGCTCGCTAGTTTCACAGTGCTCGCTAATTTCACAGTGCTCGCTAGTTTCACAGTGCTCGCTAATTTCACAGTGCTCGCTAATTTCACAGTGCTCGCTAATTTCACAGTGCTCGCTAATTTCACAGTGCTCGCTAGTTTCACAGTGCTCGCTAATTTCACAGTGCTCGCTAATTTCACAGTGCTCGCTAATTTCACAGTGCTCGCTAATTTCACAGTGCTCGCTAATTTCACAGTGCTCGCTAATTTCACAGTGCTCGCTAATTTCACAGTGCTCGCTAATTTCACAGTGCTCGCTAATTTCACAGTGCTCGATATGCTCACTAGTAGGACGTGGCCTGGCTCGGCCAAGTCAGGAGTGGGAGTCTTGCCATCGTCCTCCTGGCTATGCACTATATTGTCCTCCTGGTCTTCATCTGACATTTCATCAGAAAACCTTGCTTCTCTGGGCTAGGGGGAGGGCGTGACAATGAGGGCGCAGTAAAAAGTAAACGTGGTAAAGTAAACGTGGCAAAGTGAATGTATATAGTATATAGTACAAGAGATTAGTAATGAGGTGAGGTGATTATTGAAATCACAATGCTTGAGGCATGACACTAGAGAAACTAGCAATACTAGACTAGTATACTAACCCTGGAGGCATGACACTAAAGAAACTAGCAATACTAGACTAGACTAGACTATAATAGACTAGACTAGACTAGTCTAGTCTAGACTAGACTAGACTAGACTAGACTAGACTAGACTAGACTAGACTAGACTAGACTAGACTAGTATACTTACCCGGTTAGTGTTTATAGAGGTAAGGGTGATGTTGGCGCTGGAGATGTCCGCAAACGAGGTCCGTCTTTCACACAGATTGGACCAGTTGCGTCGGTTACTTAAACAGCCGTCTAGAAGCGGCCGGAAAAGGGGGTTCGCTTTCTCTAATGACTGAAGAAACGAGCATGTTGGATCAGGTTTTTGAAACATTCTCACTATCAAAATAAACAAGTAAAGAAAAGCAGAGGCACATATTAGGTGCGGTAAAAAAATCGAAATTATGCGGTACCGCACCCGACTATAAAGGTAAAATGTGCGGTAAGGTGCGGTAAATTTTTACCAATTATGCGGCAATTATGCGATTTTTTCGAAATTTGTGCGGGAATTGTGCGGTTTTCTTTTGCATTTTCTGAAGGACTTTGGAAATTCTAAACGTATAACCGCCGCTCTTATCAAAAATAGGTCTGTTTATGTGTTACTGAGGGTGTAGTTCTTTACTAAGACCATGATTGAACGTATATTGAGATTCAGTTATCTGAGAACAGCGACTTGATCTGGTAGAGATCAGGAGACAGTTATTTGAAGACGCCTCTTGATAGAGTCGATCAGATCCCATGCGTGATCGCAAATATGTGACACGCTTGTTGGCATTGATCGTCAGTACTTGTAAACCATTTGATCAAAGATCCATTAAGCCCACTATAAAGCCAACGCTACAACGAACAGAGCTCATTACCCGATAAAAAGGGCTGCAGTTATGATCGAAGTACGGTAACGACGAGGGTTCCATAACGGCCTGGGTCACGGTCCCGAAAGGGCCTGGGTCACGGTCCCGAAAGGGCCTGGGTAACGGTCCCGAAAGGGCCTGGGTCATGGTCCCGAAAGGGCCTGGGTCACGTGGTAACCGGGTCACGTGGCCTAGGCAGGAGTTCCAAAAGGGCCTGGGTCACGGTCCCGAAAGGGCCTGGGTCAGGGTCCCGAAAGGGCCTGGGTCACGTGGTAACTGGGTCACGTGGCCTAGGTATGAGTTCCAAAAGGGCCTGGGTCACGGTCCCGAAAGGGCCTGAGTCACGGTCCTAAAAGGGCCTGAGTCACGGTCCCGAAAGGGCCCGACTTTTAACATATTTTGGTTTTTACACTCGAAAATCTTAACGTGAAAATTTCAAAATTATGCGAAATTACGCGGAAAATGCTAGATTATGCGGAAATATGCAGAAAATTACAAAATGTGCGGAAAACAATAAATTATGCGGAAATGTGCGTAAAACGGTAAATTGTGCGATCCCGCACCCATCGCACCTAATATGTGCCTCTGAAGAAAAGTGAAAAATCTTATAGTTTCTTTATCTACAAACACAGATTAAACGAATCTTGTGCATTGTTATCCACTATACTGTCTCGACTCGTGTAATGGTTTAAAAGAAATGTAATGTTTGGTTTAATTTGAATATCATGTCATTAGTAAACATGTATATTGCAGAAGTTGACTACGCTTGTATCTTCAATTTTGATAGTGTTTCAAAATCTGTGAATCTTTACCTCATAGAGCTCCAAGCAAATATTGTCAATGAATCCGACTTGCATTTTGGGAAGTTCATCTCGTTTACTTCTGTCCATCATGTACGCTGGCGTGTGTCCAAACTTATCCCGCTAATGGTACAACAATTCAATAAAGAAACCAAGTAAGAAATTACTATTCTAAAGTTTAACCAATATTGAGACTATTACATGGTATAACCAGTATATGTACCTCAATGTCCCCCTGATTGAAGAACTCGCTGGTTACCTGGTTACCTGGTTACCTGGTTACCTGGTTACCTGGTTACCTGGTTACCTGGTTACCTGGTTACCTGGTTACCTGGTTACCTGGTTACCTGGTTACCTGGTTACCTGGTTACCTGGTTACCTGGTATAACCAGTATATGTACCTCAATGTCCCCCTGATTGAAGAACTCGCTGGTTACCTGGTTACCTGGTTACCTGGTTACCTGGTTACCTGGTTACCTGGTTATTTGGTTACCTGGTTACCTGGTTACCTGGTTACCTGGTTACCTGGTTACCTGGTTATTTGGTTACCTAGTTACCTGGTATAACCAGTATATGTACCTCAATGTCCCCCTGATTGAAGAACTCGCTGGCGATCTTCTCAGCTACCATTCTCTGAACCTCCCAAGGTTTAGTGATAGCAGAGAGATCACATCCAGTTATCATCATAGAGCGGAGCAGTACTCTGTTGTCTCCATCGTCCCAATTAGTGTCCGGGTTTTCCACCAGCTGCTTGAACAGGGATTTATGCCTGGTAAAAGAGAAAGTGTTGATATCAATACTGCAACTTCAGCTTGATATGAAAGGTTATCAGGATTAAGCTCATTAATGAGAACTCACTTGAAGTACAGAGCCAGGTCAGTAGCCAGGATTGTGGTCTTGGTGAGATCTAAGAACTGGGAATGTTCCTGCTCGTTGAGCCCTTTAAAGATGTTGTTCCCCTCCACTTGGGAGATGGTGAGGAAGTGGTTGAAGTGATGGTACTCCATAAAGGAGGTGCTGTACAGGTTAGCTAGTGGACTGTCAGATCTGCGGTAAACAAGTTAGCTAGTGGTTAACAAGTTAGCTAGTGGTTAACATGTTAGCTAGTGGTTAACATGTTAGCTAGTGGTTAACAAGTTAGCTAGTGGTTAACAAGTTAGCTAGTGGTTAACAAGTTAGCTAGTGGTTAACAAGTTAGCTAGTGGTTAACAAGTTAGCTAGTGGTTAACAAGTTAGCTAGTGGTTAACAAGTTAGCTAGTGGTTAACAAGTTAGCTAGTGGTTAACAAGTTAGCTAGTGGTTAACAAGTTAGCTAGTGGTTAACAAGTTAGCTAGTGGTTAACAAGTTAGCTAGTGGTTAACAAGTTAGCTAGTGGTTAACAAGTTAGCTAGTGGTTAACAAGTTAGCTAGTGGTTAACAAGTTAGCTAGTGGTTAACAAGTTAGCTAGTGGTTAACAAGTTAGCTAGTGGTTAACAAGTTAGCTAGTGGTTAACAAGTTAGCTAGTGGTTAACAAGTTAGCTAGTGGTTAACAAGTTAGCTAGTGGTTAACAAGTTAGCTAGTGGTTAACAAGTTAGCTAGTGGTTAACAAGTTAGCTAGTGGTTAACAAGTCAGCTAGTGGTTAACAAGTTAGCTAGTGGTTAACAAGTTAGCTAGTGGTTAACAAGTCAGCTAGTGGTTAACAAGTCAGCTAGTGGTTAACAAGTTAGCTAGTGGTTAACAAGTTAGCTAGTGGTTAACAAGTTAGCTAGTGGTTAACAAGTTAGCTAGTGGTTAACAAGTTAGCTAGTGGTTAACAAGTTAGCTAGTGGTTAACAAGTTAGCTAGTGGTTAACAAGTTAGCTAGTGGTTAACAAGTTAGCTAGTGGTTAACAAGTTAGCTAGTGGTTAACAAGTTAGCTAGTGGTTAACAAGTTAGCTAGTGGTTAACAAGTTAGCTAGTGGTTAACAAGTTAGCTAGTGGTTAACAAGTTAGCTAGTGGTTAACAAGTTAGCTAGTGGTTAACAAGTCAGCTAGTGGTTAACAAGTCAGCTAGTGGTTAACAAGTTAGCTAGTGGTTAACAAGTTAGCTAGTGGTTAACAAGTTAGCTAGTGGTTAACAAGTTAGCTAGTGGTTAACAAGTTAGCTAGTGGTTAACAAGTTAGCTAGTGGTTAACAAGTTAGCTAGTGGTTAACAAGTTAGCTAGTGGTTAACAAGTTAGCTAGTGGTTAACAAGTTAGCTAGTGGTTAACAAGTTAGCTAGTGGTTAACAAGTTAGCTAGTGGTTAACAAGTTAGCTAGTGGTTAACAAGTTAGCTAGTGGTTAACAAGTTAGCTAGTGGTTAACAAGTTAGCTAGTGGTTAACAAGTTAGCTAGTGGTTAACAAGTTAGCTAGTGGTTAACAAGTCAGCTAGTGGTTAACAAGTTAGCTAGTGGTTAACAAGTCAGCTAGTGGTTAACAAGTTAGCTAGTGGTTAACAAGTCAGCTAGTGGTTAACAAGTTAGCTAGTGGTTAACAAGTTAGCTAGTGGTTAACAAGTTAGCTAGTGGTTAACAAGTTAGCTAGTGGTTAACAAGTTAGCTAGTGGTTAACAAGTTAGCTAGTGGACTGTCAGATCTGCGATTAACAAACTCTAATTCAAATAATTTCATAAATCTTTTAGCGATGCTATATGAAAGGAAACCTAGCATTCTTGTTGAACTGGTATCGTAACTGGTAACATAACGATAATTTAGTTGTACAACATTACATAATAGCAGTGTTACTAAGTACTATGGGGGGGGGGGGGGGGGGGGCGTACTATGCAGTTGAAACAACACATTAGTGTACATAATACGATTTGGTAGTTGTTGTAGTTTATTGGGGGACATGCAACGACCATTAATGACCATTAATGACCATTAATGACCATTAATGACAATGTCAGTATTGGCAAAAATAAAAATACTGACATGGTTTTTTCAGCACTTTATGGAACGAAAGTTAGGGCAACCATAGCTATATTTATAGGTCTTTCATGCAGAGATTTGATTGAGAAAATTAAAAGGCTAAGCTTCTTTGGTTAGGTAGATCTTTCAGAGCAGAATTACCCTAGAGACTTGAAAAATGAGAGAAAATCGAAATGTCTTAAAATACAATATTATACATACAATTCATACTGTTAGAAGACTTATCTACTATGGCCTATACTATGGATACTGACTTTTGTCTCCCCCCCCCTGTATAATCAAGATACTAGAAAATGCGAGTCTCCATTTGCGGCCAAAAATTGTCCAGAAAAATCGGTGTCACCAATTACATTCGGCTTTATAATACAGATTGGCATAAACGATGATTATTGGTTGTTAATGATTTTGTCAAAATTTAAAATATTCAGCTGTTAACTGAGGGACTTAAAACTGCAGAAACAATGCGATTTATTGCGCATTCCTCTATCAAAATGGAATCACATTTCTAAACCCAACGCTTTTATTTTGTAGAGTTGTCAAAATCAGGAACTACAAAAAAACAATTTCACAAAAGGGCTAGGCAAGTCACACAAAGGTGTTACAAAAGGGCGATAACTATACTAGCGTTCGAAATATATGATATAGCCGAGACTACAAAGTAGAAGTTTTAAGTTGTAACTTCGAATTTTGATCATTTTCTTAAAATTAATTTCCCCCAGTTTGTAAGTTAACTGGTACTCACAATTTCTGGAACTGATTAGTAGTGCCCCGGTGGTCAATGTCGTGACAAAGAGAGCCCACCAGAAGAGCAAACACCTCAATATCAGTAAACTGCTGAGACATTTGGCCGGACGTTAACATAGCGAACATCATTTGAGCCACGTTGAATCCGTGTCGCCAGTTATGGTACATAACGTCTCTGTAATTCTTACGCACTGTTATTGACCATCTGATCAAACTCTGGAAATCAATCCTGGGGGACAGTTTGTTAGGCGACTCCAAATTCGGATCACATTTATATTAAACAAGTTCACTTCAAGTATATTAAAATATCAAAACAGTGAAAAGAAGAAAACAAGAGAACACCTGAATTTGTTGATAAGGTCGAGGTCTATGAACATTCTGATAGTGGCTAGAACCGTCTGGTCTGTTTCCAGGGAATGATCCGCAAACTCAAACGACAGTATATTGAGCGATTGGGCGCTGGGTATCTCTTCTCGCTGCAAATGAACACGTTTAATATCAGAAGATAAAATTGTACTTGATTACTAAGAGAAATGGTTAATTTGAAATATACATTTATACTACTACTTCTAGAACTAGTAGTAGTAGTACTAACTATCTCCCACAGTGTGGGGCCCACACCATACCTCAATTAGCGAGACTTCGTCCTTGCTGGCGCTGGCGTGGTACGACAGTATCTGAAACCGTAACATTATAAATACTAATGATGATTTAAGTTATGAACAATGTTATATCCCCGCTCAAAGCGTGGGCGACATCTTTCAATGTACATATTATTGGCCTGGCTGCAGCTTACTTATGAGTTACTGCCTAGCTTCTTAGTTCTTACAGCTGTTATGGCTTACTCATTATTTTGTTACAAGTGATAATGATTCTATTTTCTAGTTGAACAGCAAAGTCAGCCTGCTGTTAATTTTTACACCCTGACTGACTGGCTCTCTTCGCATTTACAGGTGCTCTCTTCGCCCTTGCTTTTCTCATGCCATATCTTCCGTGCCACTGCTTACATTTCATCAGAGACAAGAGAAATTTGCTAAATTCATAAAATAATTAATGGTTCAACAACTGAAACTAAACGTGAATTTCGATAGATGATTCCCGAATCGGTCATTAATAATAATTGTTGCAGGGTAACACGCTGGCTTCAAGTTCGCTGTACTGAGCAGAAACGCGCGTGTTGCGCTACTATCAATGTACCAAATAAGATCGCGCGTTCCGTAGAAAATATAGATTGCCGTCTCGAAAGGGAGTAAACGAAAATAATTAGCAAAATTGTTAGTGAACAGCGACATTTATCTGTAATCAAAGGTAATATTATCAAAAAGACAGAAAATTCACCTCAAGCACCACTTTCTGAGCATTATTAGCTTTAATAAGTCGCTCGAAGTTGATAACATTATAGATTCCCAAGCCACAGAAAAGCGTAAATGCCTGTAAATGTAAGTAAATTAGTTAGAGAGCAAATTTAAATCTATTTCGAAGGAAAATAAAATCAGATTTGTAAATTCTGATTTCTACTAAATGACAGAGTTGCATTTGCAGGGACTCATTTTAAAGTTACCTCAAATAGGGACTCATTTTAAAGTTACCTCAAATAGGGACTCATTTTAAAGTTACCTCAAATAGGGACTCATTTTAAAGTTACCTCAAATAGGGACTCATTTTAAAGTTACCTCAAATAGGGACTCATTTAAAAGTTACCTCAAATAGGGACTCATTTTAAAGTTACCTCAAATAGGGACTCATTTTAAAGTTACCTCAAATAGGGACCCATTTTAAAGTTACCTCAAATAGGGACTCATTTTAAAGTTACCTCAAATAGGGACTCATTTTAAAGTTACCGCAAATAGGGACTCATTTTAAAGCTACCTCAAATAGGGACTCATTTTAAAGTTACCTCAAATAGGGACTCATTTTAAAGCTACCTCAAATAGGGACTCATTTTAAAGTTACCTCAAATAGGGACTCATTTTAAAGCTACCTCAAATAGGGACTAATTTTAAAGTTACCTCAAATAGGGACTCATTTTAAAGTTACCTCAAATAGGGACTCATTTTAAAGTTACCTCAAATAGGGACTCATTTTAAAGTTACCTCAAATAGGGACTCATTTTAAAGTTACCTCAAATAAGGACTCATTTTAAAGTTACCTCAAATAGGGACTCATCGTTCCTGTCGAAGCGCTCCTCTCCTTTCTTGTTCAAGATCTCTACAACACCTGAATAAAAAGAGGCTGATTCGCTTGCACATTCCAATATGAGACATTTTGCAGCTTCAGAATAATGAACAATGGGTAGTAGCTTACCAGAGTGTAAGTATACAATGGGTGGTAGCTTACCAGAGTGTAAGTAGTAGCTTACCAGAGTGTAAAGCTGCGTATCACACAGGAGTGTGCACAGGTTAATTAAAATAAACACCTTTAAAGAATCTTCTTATTGAAGATAATTAAATTTATGCACCTAGTTGGATTATATGGCGCTATCTAAAACCATTAGAAATTTAATCAAACTATTAAGAGGGAGCTTCTATGGTCCGCTCAGATGAGAGAGTTGAAACGCCGCAGCAACACGGACACGTGCCCATAAAACGCCGCAGTAACACGGACACGTGCCCATAAAACGCCGCAGTAACACGGACACGTGCCCATAAAACGCCGCAGTAACACAGACACGTGCCCATAAAACGCCGCAGTAACACGGACACGTGCCCATAAAACGCTACAGTAACACGGACGTCGGACACGTGCCCATAAAACGCTGCAGTAACACGGACACGTGCCCGTAAAACGCACCCTAATTGTATTGCTAGAAGGAAAGTGTTTTGTGTGAAGAGAAGTTAGTAAAGTGGACCACGTGATGTCTTACCAAGCACGTTTCTGGACTCGTTGAGTATAGGCATGGCGAGGATACTGCGTATTTCCCTGTCTGCTCCGATTGTCTCCGCACACACCATACCCTCAAACCCGTCTATCTGCTCGCCTGGAACTGCATTAACCGTCTTGAGATTGGAAGCTACATATCTAGCTAGCGTGTCTTGCGGAGTAAGAATGTTCTGGAACTCGTACTCATCTCCGGTCTCCTTGTTCTTAATGTCATCCCCTGTGTAGATCTCAAAACAGCTCACAAACGCATCTGCAGTCTTCACTACCTGGCCCTGCGTGGTTTATACACTTAGCACTCAGTTCATAATAACATCACTCAGTTCATAATCACATCACTCAGTTCATAATCACATCACTCAGTTCATAATCACATTACTCAGTTCATAATCACATCACTCAGTTCATAATAACATCACTCAGTTTATAACCACATCACTCAGTTCATAATAACATCACTCAGTTCATAATCACATCACTCAGTTCATAATCACATCACTCAGTTCATAATCACATCACTCAGTTCATAATCACATCACTCAGTTCATAATCACATCACTCAGTTCATAATCACATTACTCAGTTCATAATCACATCACTCAGTTCCTAATCACATCACTCAGTTCATAATAACATCACTCAGTTCATAATAACATCACTCAGTTCATAATCACATCACTCAGTTCATAATCACATCACTCAGTTCATAATCACATCACTCAGTTCATAATCACATCACTCAGTTCATAATAACATCACTCAGTTCATAATCACATCACTCAGTTCATAATCACATTACTCAGTTCATAATCACGTCACTCAGTTCATAATAACATCACTCAGTTCATAATCACATTACTCAGTTCATAATAACATCGCTCAGTTCATAATATTGGCAGGACATTTCAGATTATAACTTAAAAAGTACCAGTGAAAACTGAAAATGTTATGAAAAAGATAACATAATTCATTTCGTTACCATGGTAACATATCACTATGTTAACAGATCATTATATTAACATGATAAAACTCACATTATCTGGTTTATCAAGATTAAGACCATCACTTTCAGGGCACTCCATAAGCAATATCCTGCACCCAGTGGAACTAAACATCTCGCACCCTTTCTTCAGTACCCGCCGCAACAGATTGTCCATATCCCGCTGCTCCTCGAATATGTAGTGAGCTAACAGCACCAGCGACTGCAAGGAGTTATCCGTCAATAATAATAACAATCACGTGACTTACTGCTTAGCAATCACGTGACCAGGTGTCACACGGACCCATACTAACAGCTTACTGCTTAGCAATCACGTGACCAGGTGACACACGGACCTTCTCCAGGTGTTTTTTAACACGTGCTATTTTACACCTCCGCTAAATTAACAATAGGATAGTATCAGGATTATGGTATTAGCTCCTGTATGGTGATATAGTAATACTTTATGTAAAATGTCCACATAATGAAGTGGAAATACTAATAAAGTAATAATCCTATTGTTTCACTTCATAATACAGAGTACAAAGTTATAAACGTTAGTGCAGGGTAAAGATATTATACTGGTTATCGTATAGTTATATCTTTATATAATAATATGTAGTAACAATTATAAGTACTTTGTGCATGCAGTCACAATAAGGTGGTAAACGTGTGATTTCATGCACTATATTGAGGTGCACTATGTTGAGGTGCACTATGTTGAGGTGCACTATGTTGAGGTGCACCATGTTGAGGTGCACTATGTTGAGTTGCACTATGTTGAGTTGCACTATGTTGAGGTGCACTATGTTGAGGTGCACTATGTTGAGGTGCACCATGTTGAGGTGCACAATGTTGAGGTGCACTATGTTGAGGTGCACCATGTTGAGGTGCACAATGTTGAGGTGCACTATGCTGGGGTGCACTATGTTGGGGTGCACTATGTTGAGTCATGCATCAAAGGACGGTTTTAAAGACGTGACACTCTGGAATTTTCAAAGTTATAGCGATTTTCCGTGTCTGCAGTTAGCTGATCTAGTGGTTTTAAAAGAAACTGAGGTATGATGTGACTAACTAAACTTGAAGCTCAAAACTGAGGCAAATGCTTTTCATTCAGGTGCTCAAAATGAACTCCAAATTATTGAGCTGAGTTAGGGCTAGCTGAATTTATAGAGCTCCTCCCTACTACTAGTTCCAGCTGTAAGGTGACTAGGGACTGTGTAGTATGAACACTCTCTCTCTCTGTAAAACAAACCTGCTGCATTCGAGGCTGGATGTAAATTAGGTCTGCCTGAGTACATGAATTGTCACCAAGATACCCAACATAGTGCACAACATAGTGCACAACATAGCGCAAAATATAGTGCAAAACATTAGTGCACAACATAGTGTACAACATAGTGCACAACATAGTGAAAAACATAGTGCACAAAATAGCGCACAACATATCGCACAATATAGTGCACAACATAGTGCACAACATTAGTGCACAACATTAGTGCACAACATAGCGCACAACATAGTGCACATGATACATACAAATCGTCTCTATAATATAATATAATATAACGTATTATTTACACTTCACTCTGCATTACAAGGAGTAAGATAATATCATGTTATAAACATTAGTGCAGTGTAAAGGTAGCTCAAGTAGAATGTGTAGCTGTTAGATTTGACTCTCAGTATATACAGATACAGTCACTAGTCAGGTATAACGGAAACACATTCTCAGGAACAAGAGTAAAGCATTAGCGCTTATATACACTCACTACAACGGCAATGTACAAGTGTTGTTGGAACTAGGAATCTACTAGACTACTGGAGAGGTGATGCCTGGTGTGGGGTGCAGAGCGGGGTGGTGACTGGTGTGGGGTGCAGAGCGGGGTGGTGACTGGTGTGGGGTGCAGAGCGGGGTGGGGACTGGTGTGGGGTTCAGAGCGGGGTGGTGACTGGTGTGGGGTTGAGCCGGGTGGTGACTGGTGTGGGGTGCAGAGCGGGGTGGTGACTGATGTGGGGTGCAGAGCGGGGTGGTGACTGGTGTGGGGTGCAGAGCGGGGTGGTGACTGGTGTGGGGTGCAGAGCGGGGTGGTGACTGATGTGGGGTGCAGAGCGGGGTGGTGACTGATGTGGGGTGCAGAGCGGGGTGGTGACTGGTGTGGGGTGCAGAGCGGGGTGGGGTGCAGAGCGGGGTGGTGACTGGTGTGGGGTGCAGAGCGGGGTGGTGACTGGTGTGGGGTGCAGAGCGGGGTGGTGACTGGTGTGGGGTGCAGAGCGGGGTGGTGACTGGTGTGGGGTGCAGAGCGGGGTGGTGACTGATGTGGGGTGCAGAGCGGGGTGGTGACTGGTGTGGGGTGCAGAGCGGGGTGGTGACTGGTGTGGGGTTCAGAGCGGGGTGGTGACTGGTGTGGGGTGCAGAGCGGGGTGGTGACTGGTGTGGGGTACAGAGCGGGGTGGTGACTGATGTGGGGTGCAGAGCGGGGTGGTGACTGGTGTGGGGTGCAGAGCGGGGTGGTGACTGGTGTGGGGTTCAGAGCGGGGTGGTGACTGGTGTGGGGTGCAGAGCGGGGTGGTGACTGGTGTGGGGTGCAGAGCGGGGTGGTGGCTAGTTCCTACCTAATTCACTAGTTTCTACCTCTGTCCTTCAATGAAACTCCTTGAGCATCACTTATCGTAACTTCATATTATATTGTATTGTACAGCGAAATATTCAAAAAATTTTATTTTATTCATGTTTTACTGGAACGCAGTTCTCTTTATATGAACAAAAAGCATTACAGCGGATCAAAACAAATCAATAGGACGTGTCAATGATTAACTACAACCCCCACACACACAGTAATGATTATCTACATGCTGCAAACTTACATCGCTACGTTTGTACATGATGACAGACGACTGGAAAAGGAGGGCGTTTGTGATTCCGATACCGCAGAAAGTCAGGTATCTCTCGAATATCTTCTCATCATTAGCTGTGAAGGGTCCTTCTTCGTCCTTCTTGTTAATCACTTGAGCCACGCCTACAATCTGCAAGATTGTTTGATTGAGCTACTGTGGGGGATGCTAGTGGGAGTGGCGGTACACCCTTACTGTGTGAGTTGCACATATTATTGTGTTCATAAGCGTAAAAATCGTTTGATCTTCATCATTCTAGTAATATAATCTTACAATGTTTAGTTCTACCATCTCACACACAATCATGCTAAATTTGCGCAGCATTGACGGCATTACAACAATATGTCGTATTGTATATTATATATTATATATATTGAAATATGCTTGTATAATTCACATTTTCGAGCGTATGTTATTTTAAATATTCAGCTACTGGATTGTGTCACAGTAGCTGAAATACACAACAAGGCGGTAATAGTGATTAGACGGGTAGTTATAATACCCCAACAGTAAGGGCGTACCCCACTACCACTAGCAACCCCCACAGTAAGGGCGTACCCCACTACCACTAGCAACCCCCACAGTAAGGGCGTACCCCACTACCACTAGCAACCCCCACAGTAAGGGCGTACCCCACTACCACTAGCAACCCCCACAGTAAGGGCGTACCCCACTACCACTAGCAACCCCCACAGTAAGGGCGTACCCCACTACCACTAGCAACCCCCACAGTAAGGGCGTACCCCACTACCACTAGCAACCCCCACAGTAAGGGCGTACCCCACTACCACTAGCAACCCCCACAGTAAGGGCGTACCCCACTACCACTAGCAACCCCCACAGTAAGGGCGTACCCCACTACCACTAGCAACCCCCACAGTAAGGGCGTACCCCACTACCACTAGCAACCCCCACAGTAAGGGCGTACCCCCACTACCACTAGCAACCCCCACAGTAAGGGCGTACCCCACTACCACTAGCAACCCCCACAGTAAGGGCGTACCCCCACTACCACTAGCAACCCCCACAGTAAGGGCGTACCCCACTACCACTAGCAACCCCCACAGTAAGGGCGTACCCCACTACCACTAGCAACCCCCACAGTAAGGGCGTACCCCACTACCACTAGCAACCCCCACAGTAAGGGCGTACCCCACTACCACTAGCAACCCCCACAGTAAGGGCGTACCCCACTACCACTATCAACCCCCACAATAAGGGCGTACCCCACTACCACTAGCAACCCCCACAGTAAGGGCGTACCCCAACTACAGTTGCATTTGATAAGTTGATAATGACTATGATGTGCAGTTTATACCTGGTTACTCTTGAATACTCACCTCTGATTGGTTGTTCTTGACTGGCATACAGAGAATACTCTTCGTTCTGAAACCCGTTTGCATATCGATAGCTTTGTTAAACCGCTCGTCCTGAAGTGTTTCTACAATGAAGTGGATTAAAATTAGAGAAGTATTCTAGTGAGCCGTATAAGTGGAGTAAAAAATAACATTGGATGACTAGGCGTAATTAGAATAACAATCAAATTTAATTGTAATGATTATTGTAACGGAAGTGTGGGTAAACTACTAGATTATGATACCTTACGAGACATATTTATGTTCGACATAATTCCAGTGACCTTAATGATTTGGGAACGAAAATATGGGAATTTTTACCGAAAACCGTCACATTTCGTACCCCAAATTAAATCATGGTATTTGGGGATTTTTTCATCTCCTTATTTTACAAAAATGAAACCCAATATTTGAGAAAATTAAATACAAAAATCTTCTCTGATTAGCTGTTCATCTTGTAAACAATTTCTCCGGAGCCTTTGAAAGTTAGCCTCAACTTAATTTATAATCCTCCAGAGGGTATAGGTAGGAGACCGACAGTGTTTGTTATCTTCCACTAATCCCAGAATTTCACCGCCGTGGCCAATAAAGTAGTGACAGAGCCTGCTTATTTTTAATGGAACGTGTCCAAAATCCCTTTTAAAGCAATAATTCATGATCGAATACTAGTGTTCATTAATTGTTTGATGAATCATGTTTATAACTTACTATATTGATAAGTTGATAGTAAATCGAGAAAGTCATAATTAAGGAAAATATATGAAACATAATTTGAGGAAAATAATGATGGTGACCTAAATTTTGGTGGTCCGAAAATATGGTGTTTTTTTGTTGTTGAATAACCACCGACTTTCGTACCATTTAAATATGTCTCGTAAGGTATACAATACTATTATACTTCTCTACAGCACTATAACATCTGGGCACTAGTTTGGCAATGTGCCAGGCTGACAAGTGGGCACTAGTTTGGCAATGTGCCAGGCTGACAAGTGGGCACTAGTTTGGCAATGTGCCAGGCTGACAAGTGGGCACTAGTTTGGCAATGTTCCAGGCTGACAAGTGGGCACTAGTTTGGCAATGTGCCAGGCTGACAAGTGGGCACTAGTTTGGCAATGTGCCAGGCTGGCAAGTGGGCACTAGTTTGGCAATGTTCCAGGCTGACAAGTGGATACTAGTTTGGCAATGGGCCAGGCTGACAAGTGGGCACTAGTTTGGCAATGTTCCAGGCTGACAAGTGGGCACTAGTTTGGCAATGTGCCAAGCTGACAAGTGGGCACTAGTTTGGCAACGTGCCAGGCTGACAAGTGGGCACTAGTTTGGCAATGTTCCAGGCTGACAAGTGGGCACTAGTTTGGCAATGTGCCAGGCTGACAAGTGGGCACTAGTTTGGCAATGTGCCAAGCTCACAAGTGGGTACTAGTTTGGCAACGTGCCAGGCTAATGATCCTACTCTCTTATCATCGTTAAATTTAGAGGCGCATGTAAGTAGTGGTAAGTAGTATGTAGCATGATGACTCTGATTGCTAGTTGGGGATGTGGTGTACTTGCTAAGGGGGGGGGGGGGGGGGGGGGGGGGGGGGGATAGTTTCTAGCGAGGGTGGGAGTGAACTTGCTAAAGGGGGGAGTGGGGCATAGTTTCTAGTGAGAGTGGGGGTGTACTTGCTAAGGGGGGGGGGGGGGGGGGGGGGCATAGTTTCTAGCGAGGGTGGGAGTGAACTTGCTAAAGGGGGGAGTGGGGCATAGTTTCTAATGAGAGTGGGGGTGTACTTGCTAAGGGGGGGGGGGGGGGGGGGGGGGATAGTTTCTAGCGATGGTTGGAGTGAACTTGCTAAAGGGGGGAGTGGGGCATAGTTTCTAGTGAGAGTGGGGGTGTACTTGCTAAGGGGGGGGGGGGGATAGTTTCTAGCGAGGGTGGGAGTGAACTTGCTAAAGGGGGGAGTGGGGCATAGTTTCTAATGAGAGTGGGGGTGTACTTGCTAAGGGGGGGGGGGGGGATAGTTTCTAGTGAGAGTGGGGGTGTACTTGCTAAGGGGGGGGGGGGGGGGGGGGGATAGTTTCTAGTGAGAGTGGGGGTGTACTTGCTAAGGGGGGGGGGGGGGGGGGGCATAGTTTCTAATGAGAGTGGGGGTGTACTTGCTAAGGGGGGGGGGGGGGGGGATAGTTTCTAGCGATGGTTGGAGTGAACTTGCTAAAGGGGGGAGTGGGGCATAGTTTCTAGTGAGAGTGGGGGTGTACTTGCTAAGGGGGGGGGGGGGGGGATAGTTTCTAGCGATGGTTGGAGTGAACTTGCTAAAGGGGGGAGTGGGGCATAGTTTCTAGTGAGAGTGGGGGTGTACTTGCTAAGGGGGGGGGGATAGTTTCTAGCGAGGGTGGGAGTGAACTTGCTAAAGGGGGGAGTGGGGCATAGTTTCTAATGAGAGTGGGGGTTGTACTTGCTAAGGGGGGGGGGGGGGGATAGTTTCTAGCGATGGTTGGAGTGAACTTGCTAAAGGGGGGAGTGGGGCATAGTTTCTAGTGAGAGTGGGGGTGTACTTGCTAAGGGGGGGGGGGGGGATAGTTTCTAGCGAGGGTGGGAGTGAACTTGCTAAAGGGGGGAGTGGGGCATAGTTTCTAATGAGAGTGGGGGTTGTACTTGCTAAGGGGGGGGGGGGGGGGATAGTTTCTAGCGATGGTTGGAGTGAACTTGCTAAAGGGGGGAGTGGGGCATAGTTTCTAGTGAGAGTGGGGGTGTACTTGCTAAGGGGGGGGGGGGGGGATAGTTTCTAGCGAGGGTGGGAGTGAACTTGCTAAAGGGGGGAGTGGGGCATAGTTTCTAGTGAGAGTGGGAGTGAACTTGCTAAGGGGGGGGGGGGGGGGGGGGCATAGTTTCTAGTGAGAGTGGGGGTGTACTTGCTAAGGGGGGGGGGGGGGGTGAGGTTGTAGTTACTAGTGGGGTGTAGTTGTTAGGAAGGGGGGGGGGGGGGGAGGGACGTAGTCGCTAGAGGTTGACGTAGTTGCTAGTGGGGCGGGGTGGGAGTGTAGTTTCTAGTGAGGGAGGGGTGGTGTAGTTGCTATTTCTCTATTTGTCGTAAATATTTTGTGACAATTTGCCTCAGGACCCAACTAATCTTTATAAAGTACATGGCAGCAGTTTTATATAGCAAATGGTATAATAGATTTCATCTTTAAAACCAACATTTTAAATCACATAATAGGACTAATTAAGGAAGAGGTATGAAGGAGGGTTTAAATAGCGCTGTAAGTACTAGTATTGCGGAGGTATCTGCTCCTTTGTCTTATAATGACATGTGGTGTAATGTTATGCACGTGGTGTACCAGTGGGGTGTAGTACTTGGGTGATGGTGTAGTAGCAACACCAGTGGGGTGTAGTACTTGGGTGATGGTGTAGTAGCAACACCAGTGGGGTGTAGTACTTGGGTGATGGTGTAGTAGCAACACCACCAAGTGTAGCAGTGGGGTGTAGTACTTGGGTGATTGTGTAGTAGCAACACCAGTGGGGTGTAGTACTTGGGTGATGGTGTAGTAGCAACACCACCAAGTGTAGCAGTGGGGTGTAGTACTTGGGTGATTGTGTAGTAGCAACACCAGTGGGGTGTAGTACTTGGGTGATGGTGTAGTAGCAACACCACCAAATGTAGCAGTGGGGTGTAGTACTTGGGTGATGGTGTAGTAGCAACACCAGTGGGGTGTAGTACTTGGGTGATGGTGTAGTAGCAACACCACCAAGTGTAGCAGTGGGGTGTAGTACTTGGGTGATGGTGTAGTAGCAACACCACCAAGTGTAGCAGTGGGGTGTAGTACTTGGGTGATGGTGTAGTAGCAACACCAGTGGGGTGTAGTACTTGGGTGATGGTGTAGTAGCAACACCACCAAGTGTAGCACTGGGGTGTAGTACTTGGGTGATGGTGTAGTAGCAACACCACCAAGTGTAGCAGTGGGGTGTAGTACTTGGGTGATGGTGTAGTAGCAACACCACCAAGTGTAGCAGTGGGGTGTAGTACCTGATAAGCGTCCGGAATGTTGACGATCTCCCCGCTCTCAGCCACGTACCCCACAATGCCCTTACCGTACGGTATCCTGATCGGCTTGTGCTCGTACATGTCTGTAAGCTGACTGTTCTCTGTCACGTCAAACAGCTTACTCACCAGAAACCTGTCGCATTTCACCAGGGTAACATGAAGAATGGAGTATAGTATATAGGAGGGCCGGAGGGGGAGGTTTGATTGTTCGCATACTACATTAAGAAAGTTTAAAAGATATGAGACACTGCGGTGTAGTTACTGATTACTGCAGTACTGCATTATTCCTGCATTATCTGTAGATTTACAATTGGTCACTGTGTCCTCCATTGAATGCCAATGTACATGAAACTCACATAGAGAGGTACTAATGCTACAGCCCTCCCCCCCTAGTATCAGGGAGAGGTACTAATGCTACAGCCCCCCCACTAATGATACACCCCCCACTAATGCTACACCCCCCACTAATGCTACACCCCCCACTAATGCTACACCCCCCCCCCCTAGTATCAGGGAGAGGTACTAATGCTACAGCCCCCCCCACTAATGATACACCCCCCACTAATGCTACACCCCCCACTAATGCTACACCCCCCCCCCTAGTATCAGGGAGAGGTACTAATGCTACACACCCCCCCCACTAATGCTACACCCCCCCTAGTAGGGAGAGGTACTAATGCTACACCCCCCCCTAGTATCAGGGAGAGGTACTAATGCTACAGCCCTCCCCCCCTAGTATCAGGGAGAGGTACTAATGCTACAGCCCCCCCACTAATGATACACCCCCCACTAATGCTACACCCCCCACTAATGCTACACCCCCCCCTAGTATCAGGGAGAGGTACTAATGCTACACACCCCCCCCACTAATGCTACACCCCCCCTAGTAGGGAGAGGTACTAATGCTACACCCCCCCCCCCCTAGTATCAGGGAGAGGTACTAATGCTACAACCCCCCCCCCCCCCCCCCCCTAGTAGGGAGTTGTACTAATGCTACACCCCCCTAGTAGGGAGAGGTACTAATGCTACACCCCTCTAGTATCAGGGAGAGGTACTAATGCTACAACCCCCCCCCCCTAGTAGGGAGTTGTACTAATGCTACACCCCCCCCCCCACTAATGCTACACCCCCCCCTAGTAGGGAGAGGTACTAATGCTACACCCCCCCCCTAGTATCAGGGAGAGGTACTAATGCTACAACCCCCCCCCCTAGTAGGGAGTTGTACTAATGCTACACCCCCCCCCTAGTATCAGGGAGAGGTACTAATGCTACAACCCCCCCACTAATGCTACACCCCCCCTAGTAGGGAGAGGTACTAATGCTACACCCCCCCCCCCCCCCCCCCCCCCTAGTATCAGGGAGAGGTACTAATGCTACAACCCCCCCCCCCCCTAGTAGGGAGTTGTACTAATGCTACACCCCCCCCCCACTAATGCTACACCCCCCCCCCCCCTAGTAGGGAGTTGTACTAATACTACACCCCCCCCCCCCCACTAATGCTACACCCCCCCCCCACTAATGCTACACCCCCCACTAATGCTACACCCCCCCTAGTAGGGAGTTGTACTAATGCTACACCCCCCTAGTATCAGGGAGAGGTACTAATGCTACAACCCCCCCCCCCCCCCCCCTAGTAGGGAGTTGTCATATGTCCAGCAATTGTTGTAACCTAATAATGTAGCAGTCCTGGCAGGGAGTTAGGGGCCGGTCTACGCTAATACCCGCTTATTGGGTAATATCCCCATGGGACATTAGTGGGGGAGTGTAGTGGGACCTTGTTTACTGTTCCAATAATACAAGCTGGTGGCACCGTGTATAAACGGCGTTCTCAAAATACACATAAAATTATCAATCGAAATTCAAAAGGTCGAGATTTGCACGCCGGCTTGAGACCTCGTGAAATCTATCGGTGAAGCGGCGTCTGGCGGCGGCGTACATACCTTGGTAACTGTCCTAATAATTAAATACCCTGCTACTCCTTCCATTACATACCTTGGTAACTGTCCTATTAATTAAATACCCTGCTACTCCTTCCATTACATACCTTGGTAACTGTCCTAATAATTAAATACCCTGCTACTCCTTCCATTACATACCTTGGTAACTGTCCTAATAATTAAATACCCTGCTACTCCTTCCATTACATACCTTGGTAACTGTCCTAATAATTAAATACCCTGCTACTCCTTCCATTACATACCTTGGTAACTGTCCTATTAATTAAATACCCTGCTACTCCTTCCATTACATACCTTAGTAACTGTCCTAATAATTAAATACCCTGCTACTCCTTCCATTACATACCTTGGTAACTGTCCTAATAATTAAATACCCTGCTACTCCTTCCATTACATACCTTAATTCCCAAAAATTTGGGCGACCAAAAATTTGAGCGGGCCTCTCGCCCAAATTTTTTGCAGACCAAATTAATTGCATAAATCTTTTCCGTCTGCTAAATTTTTTGCTAACCAAACTTTTGGCATTTGGCCTGTGGCCCTGAAATCTATAGAAAGATGGCTTTTTCTTCATATCCAAGTGAAATAATATTTGAAATTTTAGTTTTCTAATCTGTCATTCATAGCTTGACCAAGTAAACGGGCTTATATTTTAAATGAATAGAAATAACTGGAATTAGACTTCAAGACCTTTGGTCCGGGTTTACAGTAGTTCGCTACACACAATTATGTTTCCCCCAAAGCTAAGCGTATGTGCCGCTTAGTTTGATAAATCATGGTGTAAACCTTATAATTTTCTTCCAAACCTTTCGACCATCTGGTGAGGCGTCATAATGATAATTGTATGTGAAAGGGGTATGATAAGATATGCTGAGTGTAAGTAGACTAAACTATCTGATTGAGAGACTAAATATCACTATTGTATATCTATCATATTGTACTGTGCCATCATCACTGTATTTTTTAGTAGTTACTGGGCAGATCGTAAATTTCATAATGTGAAACAACTCAGACTACCACCTACATGCTTAAAATTGAAAGCAAAATGACTGGAATAATAATGAACTAAGGAAAATATCTAACTGAAATTTTAGTGGAAAATCGTTCATTTTTCGAAGAATTTGTGCCCAAATTTTCGGTCGCCCAAATGAGTTCAAATTTTCTGCCCAAATTTTTCGGGCTCAAATAAATTGTGCTCAATATAATGGCACACAAATTTTTGGGAACTAAGGTACCTTGGTTACTGTCCTAATAATTAAATACCCTGCTACTCCTTCCATTACATACCTTGGTAACTGTCCTAATAATTAAATACCCTGCTACTCCTTCCATTACATACCTTGGTAACTGTCCTGATAATTAAATACCCTGCTACTCCTTCCATTACATACCTTGGTAACTGTCCTAATAATTAAATACCCTGCTACTCCTTCCATTACATACCTTGGTTACTGTCCTATTAATTAAATACCCTGCTACTCCTTCCATTACATACCTTGGTAACTGTCCTAATAATTAAATACCCTGCTACTCCTTCCATTACATACCTTGGTAACTGTCCTATTAATTAAATACCCTGCTACTCCTTCCATTACATACCTTGGTAACTGTCCTAATAATTAAATACCCTGCTGCTCCTTCCATTACATACCTTGGTAACTGTCCTAATAATTAAATACCCTGCTACTCCTTCCATTACATACCTTGGTAACTGTCCTAATAATTAAATACCCTGCTACTCCTTCCATTACATACCTTGGTAACTGTCCTATAATTAAATACCCTGCTACTCCTTCCATTACATACCTTGGTAACTGTCCTAATAATTAAATACCCTGCTACTCCTTCCATTACATACCTTGGTAACTGTCCTAATAATTAAATACCCTGCTACTCCTTCCATTACATACCTTGGTAAACTGTTCTGATAATTAAATACCCTGCTACTCCTTCCATTACATACCTTGGTAACTGTCCTGATAATTAAATACCCTGCTACTCCTTCCATTACATACCTTGGTAACTGTCCTATTAATTAAATACCCTGCTACTCCTTCCATTACATACCTTGGTAACTGTCCTAATAATTAAATACCCTGCTACTCCTTCCATTACATACCTTGGTAACTGTCCTAATAATTAAATACCCTGCTACTCCTTCCATTACATACCTTGGTAACTGTCCTAATAATTAAATACCCTGCTACTCCTTCCATTACATACCTTGGTAACTGTTCTATTAATTAAATACCCTGCTACTCCTTCCATTACATACCTTGGTAACTGTCCTGATAATTAAATACTCTGCTACTCCTTCCATTACATACCTTGGTAACTGTCCTAATAATTAAATACCCTGCTACTCCTTCCATTACATACCTTGGTAACTGTCCTAATAATTAAATACCCTGCTACTCCTTCCATTACATACCTTGGTTACTGTCCTAATAATTAAATACACTGCTACTCCTTCCATTACATACCTTGGTAACTGTCCTAATAATTAAATACCCTGCTACTCCTTCCATTACATACCTTGGTAACTGTCCTGATAATTAAATACCCTGCTACTCCTTCCATTACATACCTTGGTAACTGTCCTAATAATTAAATACCCTGCTGCTCCTTCCATTACGTTCTTTTTCCGGGATTGTTGAGTGGCATTTGCGGTTCAGTTTAACGAATTCATGCAATAAACTCAGCTCATCCAGCCGCCCCCCCTCCCCCTCCCCCTCCCCCTCCCCCTCCCCCTCCCCCTCCCCCTCCCTCCCTCCCTCCCCTCCCTCCCTCCCCCTCCCCCTCCCTCCCCTCCCCCCCTCCCCCCCCCCCCCTCTCTCCCCCCTCAGCTACCCGGGGAGATGGATATAATATATTTGTGGTCTCATTACACAGTGTATATATAATATGACACAGTGCTTCCTGATATTTATAGAATTATACCCGGTTATTCCCCGACCAGATGTCGGAACGTGACAATTTAAAATATGGATGAAAATTGAAAATCCGTAAGACCAACCTCTGATCTCCACTGCCGAATATAAGAAATAGCGAACATCTGTCCCCGTTCGTCAATATCCCAACATTGAGCAGAATCTTAAAGCAGAGGGACACTAGATCGAGATCCTGAGCGATGTCTCTGACAAGCTCCATCATAAGGTCAGGCTCGTTCAGCTGCCTCCATTCCTCACGGGACCTCCGCCGTGCTGAGGGCTCTTCTGAAGGGTTCTTGCTTTTAGTGGGCAAACAAGCGGGGGGTTCAGAGACCAGGGAGATTTTCCGGGTCTTATTAGAAAAACAACCAGAGAGAAAGCTGAACAAGCTGGCGAGGTTTCGCATACGAATTCTCTGAGAAGAAACTGGACAAAAGTGTGTGTACATTGTAATAATAGCTACTACACAGTACCTATACTGCTCCTACTGTTGTCATTCTAGTATAAATTAGTTCGTGAATTACTTACCACCAAACAAAGATAGAATACCTATCACATGCTACACATTAAAATGTTTCTCAATTCTCGCTGCTCGAAATTATGCCTAAATAATTCTGATTGTACTGACATGCCTTTAATATGATTAACAAGGAATTTAGGAATTTTCAAAGAAGAGACGGAATTTCCATAAGTACAAGTACAAGTACAAAGACGGAAAAGCCGAAGGTTTCTGATGAAATAAGTTTTATTTGACATCATGTTTGGCTGGCAGTGGAGTGGTCATCATAACTAATAGTGAATAGTAATAACTATCATTGTTCACCGGTGCCAGCCATATTTGGTCCAATTTCGGCTAAATTTTGCCAAATCATCTTAACATGTCCAATTCTTCAGAAAGGAGTGACGGAACAGAGCCTGTATTTTAACAGCAGCGCGAAAAAACAGGCAATATGATTACCCCCCCCCCTCCCTTAATACTTACCTCCAGGTTCGCCTGGGAGCTGTAGATTAGTCGGGAGCAGGGAGCGGATGTTGATGAGATCGTCCGAGAAGGACCTGGGGAGAAAGTTCATGTCAGTTTGTAGAATTAGTCTCATCTGGTATCATAGAGTGTAAGCAGTGTGGAAACTGAGGAAATAGTGAAATAGAGAAATAGAGAAATAGTGAAATAGTGAAGTAGTGAAGTAGTGAAGTAGTGAAATAGTGACATAGAAAAATAGTGAAATAGTGAAATAGAAAAATAGTGAAGTAGTGAAGTAGAAAAATAGTGAAGTAGTGAAGTAGAGAAGTAATGAAATGGTGAAATAGTGAAATAGTGAAATAGAAAAATAGTGAAATAGTGAAATAGAAAAATAGTGAAGTAGTGAAGTAGAAAAATAGTGAAGTAGAGAAGTAGTGAAATGGTGAAATAGTGAAATAGAAAAATAGTGAAATAGTGAAATAGAAAAATAGTGAAGTAGTGAAGTAGAAAAATAGTGAAGTAGTGAAGTAGAGAAGTAGTGAAGTGGTGAAATAGTGAAATAGTGAAATAGAAAAATAGTGAAATAGAAAAATAGTGAAGTAGTGAAGTAGAAAAATAGTGAAGTAGTGAAGTAGAGAAGTAGTGAAGTGGTGAAATAGTGAAATAGTGAAATAGAAAAATAGTGAAATAGTGAAATAGAAAAATAGTGAAGTAGTGAAGTAGAAAAATAGTGAAGTAGTGAAGTAGAGAAGTAGTGAAATGGTGAAATAGTGACGTTTGGGCACGTTAAAACAACACAAGGGTTACGTAATACTACTGGTTACGCTGTCTAAACAGAGGAAGTTACTTTGTTACATGCTATTTACAGTTCATATCAATGTTATAATATGTATTATTGTGGGTGTCTGCTGACAGAGCTATAGCTAGGAAGCTTAATAACGAGTCCAGGCTTATATTATTAGTTATTCATTGCAGTTACCATAACCCACCTCACAAATCACAATACACAGTACCTTCAGGTACCTATACTACAGGTACCTATACAGTACCTATACTACAGGTAGCTATATACAGGTACCTATATACAGTACCTATACTACAGGTAGCTATATACAGGTACCTATATACAGTACCTATACTACAGGTAGCTATATACAGGTACCTATATACAGTACCTATACTACAGGTAGCTATATACAGGTACCTATATACAATACCTATACTACAGGTAGCTATATACAGGTACCTATATACAGTACCTATACTGCAGGTACCTACACACAGTACCTATACTACAGGTACCTACACACAGTACCTACACAGTACCTATACTGCAGGTACCTACACAGTACCTACACAGTACCTATACTTCAGGTACCTATATACAGTACCTATACTACAGGTACCTATATACAGTACCTATACTACAGGTACCTATATACAATACCTATACTACAGGTAGCTATATACAGTACCTATATACAGTACCTACACAGTACCTACACACAGTACCTATACTACAGGTACCTATACTTCAGGTACCTATACTACAGGTACCTATACTACAGGTACCTACACACAGTACCTACACAGTACCTATACTGCAGGTACCTACACAGTACCTACACAGTACCTATACTTCAGGTACCTATATACAGTACCTATACTACAGGTACCTATATACAATACCTATACTACAGGTAGCTATATACAGGTACCTATATACAATACCTATACTACAGGTACCTATATACAATACCTATACTACAGGTACCTATATACAGTACCTATACTACAGGTAGCTATATACAGTACCTATATACAGTACCTACACAGTACCTACACACAGTACCTATACTACAGGTACCTATACTTCAGGTACCTATACTACAGGTACCTATACTACAGGTACCTACACACAGTACCTACACAGTACCTATACTGCAGGTACCTACACAGTACCTACACAGTACCTATACTTCAGGTACCTATATACAGTACCTATACTACAGGTACCTATATACAATACCTATACTACAGGTAGCTATATACAGGTACCTATATACAATACCTATACTACAGGTACCTATATACAATACCTATACTACAGGTACCTATATACAGTACCTATACTACAGGTACCTATATACAATACCTATACTACAGGTACCTATATACAGTACCTATACTACAGGTACCTATATACAATACCTATACTACAGGTAGCTATATACAGGTACCTATATACAATACCTATACTACAGGTACCTATATACAGTACCTATACTACAGGTAGCTATATACAGTACCTATATACAGTACCTACACAGTACCTACACACAGTACCTATACTTCAGGTACCTATACTTCAGGTACCTATACTTCAGGTACCTTTATACATTACAGGGTTGTATCTCCACAATGTACACGCTAAAATGAGGGATCTGCAAGAATTATCGGAATGTGATTGTGACGGAGAAGTGTTGAGAGCTCTCTCAGTACAGCTCACAGAGCTGTGTGTGTAATTACAGGCGTGTAGGGTGCTGTGTGTGTAATTACAGGCGTGTAGGGTGCTGTGTGTGTAATTACAGGCGTGTAGGGTGCTGTGTGTGTGTAATTACAGGCGTGTAGGGTGCTGTGTGTGTGTAATTACAGGCGTGTAGGGTGCTGTGTGTGTGTAATTACAGGCGTGTAGGGTGCTGTGTGTGTAATTACAGGCGTGTAGGGTGCTGTGTGTGTGTGTGTAATTACAGGCGTGTAGGGTGCTGTGTGTGTGTAATTACAGGCGTGTAGGGTGCTGTGTGTGTGTAATTACAGGCGTGTAGGGTGCTGTGTGTGTGTAATTAGAGGCGTGTAGGGTGCTGTGTGTGTGTAATTAGAGGCGTGTAGGGTGCTGTGTGTGTGTGTGTAATTACAGGCGTGTAGGGTGCTGTGTGTGTGTAATTACAGGCGTGTAGGGTGCTGTGTGTGTGTAATTAGAGGCGTGTAGGGTGCTGTGTGTGTGTGTGTAATTACAGGCGTGTAGGGTGCTGTGTGTGTGTAATTACAGGCGTGTAGGGTGCTGTGTGTGTGTAATTACAGGCGTGTAGGGTGCTGTGTGTGTGTAATTACAGGCGTGTAGGGTGCTGTGTGTGTGTAATTACAGGCGTGTAGGGTGCTGTGTTTGTGTAATTACAGGCGTGTAGGGTGCTGTGTGTGTGTAATTACAGGCGTGTAGGGTGCTGTGTGTGTGTAATTACAGGCGTGTAGGGTGCTGTGTGTGTAATTACAGGCGTGTAGGGTGCTGTGTGTGTGTAATTACAGGCGTGTAGGGTGCTGTGTGTGTTTAATTACAGGCGTGTAGGGTGCTGTGTGTGTGTAATTACAGGCGTGTAGGGTGCTGTGTGTGTGTAATTACAGGCGTGTAGGGTGCTGTGTGTGATAAAGCATTACTACTCATTAGTCTGAACTAATATACACTACTACTGCTACTAACTATAATAGTCCGTGTAACAACGTAATATATTCACAGACTGTAACTATGACAACGAATATATACATTATACATATAGCGTAATTATGACAAAGTATGTACACAGAGTGTAACTATGACAACATTTGTACACAGAGTGTAACTATGTCAACGTTTGTACACAGAATGTAACTATGACAACGTTTGTACACAGAGTGTAACTATGACAACGTTTGTACACAGAATGTAACTATGACAACGTTTGTACACAGAGTGTAACTATGACAACGAATATATACATTATACATATAGCGTAATTATGACAAAGTATGTACACAGAGTGTAACTATGACAACATTTGTACACAGAGTGTAACTATGACAACGTTTGTACACAGAATGTAACTATGACAACGTTTGTACACAGAGTGTAACTATGACAACGTTTGTACACAGAGTGTAACTATGACAACGTTTGTACACAGAATGTAACTATGACAAAGTATGTACACAGAGTTTAACTTTGACAACGTTTGTACACAGAGTGTAACTATGACAACGTTTGTACACAGAATGTAACTATGACAACGTTTGTACACAGAGTGTAACTATGACAACTTTTGTACACAGAGTGTAACTATGACAACTTTTGTACACAGAGTGTAACTATGACAACGTTTTTACACAGAGTGTAACTATGACAACGAATATATACATTATACATATAGCGTAATTATGACAAAGTATGTACACAGAGTGTAACTATGACAACATTTGTACACAGAGTGTAACTATGACAACGTTTGTACACAGAATGTAACTATGACAACGTTTGTACACAGAGTGTAACTATGACAACGTTTGTACACAGAGTGTAACTATGACAACGTTTGTACACAGAATGTAACTATGACAACGTTTGTACACAGAATGTAACTATGACAAAGTATGTACACAGAGTTTAACTTTGACAAAGTTTGTACACAGAGTGTAACTATGACAACGTTTGTACACAGAATGTAACTATGACAACGTTTGTACACAGAGTGTAACTATGACAACTTTTGTACACAGAGTGTAACTATGACAACTTTTGTACACAGAGTGTAACTATGACAACGTTTTTACACAGAGTGTAACTATGACAACGTATGCATTAGGGACGATAGGGTCGTTTTTATGATCCACCTTTTCTAGAGGACAAACCAAATTACTAAACGCTATAACAAATCTATAGCATATTATATGCTTAAAATTTATTGGGCTACATTATATGAAGCCCAATAAATTTTGAGCATATATGCTATAGATTCGTTATAGCGTTTATTAATTTGGTTTGTCCTCTAGAAAAGGTGGGTATATGAACGACCCTATCGTCCCTAATGGGTTAAGGGGAGCTGAAGTTAAAAAACAAAATATTTGTAAAAGAACAATCGGCCGGTACTTGCAAATTAATCGTACAATTGAGAAAACATATTCTGAGATTCTGTGATTAAATTTATTTTGTTGATTATGATGTTGTGACTAGGTGATTGCATAATTTATTGTTAATATAATATTATATTTCAGTATTATGTAACACGATGGAAATATTTTAAGCGGGCAATATCCTGTCCAAACCCTGGATATATAACATGAAGACTTT